GTCCTTACGAAGGGGTGGATGGAGAAGTTGGGGCCAAGTGCTGAGGATGGTAGTTTCTGAGATATAAGCCCTCTGCCAAAAACCAGCATCTCCTCCTTGAGAGGGGTCCCTCTCTAAGGGTGGGGAGTGGGCAAAGGAAGTGCGCTTCGTATAAACCAAGAGAAATGATCTGAGAAGCCATCTGCCAGGGCCTAGCATTTCCTAGCTGCAGTAGCAGGGCCTGCAGTTGGAGGCAGCCCTTCTGCCTGCTTCCCAGCTCTACCTTGGTCTCACAGAGCCCACCCTGGGAACTTGGGTTGTCACATAGACAGTGGCATCCCAGGTCTTTCTCTACCTCTCAGGACACTGACTTCCTCCTGTGCTCACTGAAGGTGGGAGAGACCATCGCTGATACCAGACCCTATTTTGGAGGCACCCATCCAGTGGGGAGGGCCATGGGGGAAATGCCTTTACAAACAGGAAGCTAAGTAAGGTAAAGGAGACCAACACATTTGTTGAAAGTTGCCTTATGGCAGGGAAGCTGGCTTGATTGGAAAAAGCTTTGTTTTTCCAACTTGGTTATGATCTTTGGACATTATGAAACGTTGCTGCCTTTTTCCTGGGTGCATATACCTTACCTTCGTTCATATAGCTTTTCTCAGGAACAGAAGCCTTGCTTTTCCCCTAGTTCTGTCCTTCTCTGTATAAAGAAATGGTTTGTGCTAAGAGGATCCCTGCTGGTGCAGGTATTGTCATTTACCTCTGAAACCATGTGCTGCTATTCAGCCCTTCCTTTGACGCTCCCTCCAGGAGACCTGTGGATGTGGCCCTGAGGCCTGATTTGACTCTGGAGCTTTCTAGTTTGCCCTCTCCCCTGACTCGTATGGCTTTGATCAGCTGGGCCCCTCCCCAGGGACAGAGTCTGGGCTTAAATCTCAGTGAAATCCAGTTTGTGCCAGCTGACTGCTGTTACTGACCTGTCCTGGCACATCCCCCTTTGGCCATAGCACAGCCTGCAGAATATAGCTGTTGAAATTGCTGACAGCCATGCCCTAGAATCTGCACATCTGGACACAGAGGTAGGGCCAGGGGCCACAGACATTCCTGCCTTACTCGCCTCAGCCTGCCCGATGTCACTCTCCCCTCTGGGCACATAAACCAATCTTCAGTCTGGGCTGCCCAGGCTCCAACCCCAGGTGAATTGACTACTGGAGGTGGGATTGGGGCCACTTCTGGCCCCAGCCTGAGCGGGCTGGGACGGGTGAGAGGGACAAAGGCAAAGCATCGTAGTTGGGCCCTTAATCACCAGGACATATGTCTCTGACTGCTGCATCTGGGAAGGAGCCTCAGGGCCCCCCAACCGTCCATGAGATGGTGTATTGTTGGGAGCCAATGTCCCTGACATCCTGTTTGGTAATAACTCATTTACATTCTCTAGATCCCTACTAGGGAGGGCTGCTGGGTAATTCAATCTGTAGCCCTGCTCTAAACTCCTTTGCTCTTTTGTCCTCTGGAGCAATTGCAGCCTCTTTGAAACTACTGCTTCCTAACCTCACTTCCCTGAGCCATTTGGCTTCAATTCTGACAGTGGTATGGGCACAGCCATTGTACAGACCCAGAAGGGAACACTAGCTGGGCCTCTTCCTCCAGTTTTCTCTTTTTCTGTGGGACCCTTCAGAGTCAGAGTTGGGAGGGAGCAGGTTTATTGAATACTTGGTACTATGTGCCAGCCAGGGGCCTTTATTTTCTCCAGTATTGTATTTAATGCTCTCGGTAGCTATAGAAGTGGATGCTATGACCCCCCCGCCCCCTTTTTACAGAGGAGGAAACTGATGCACAGAGGGCTTATACAGCTTGCCCGAAGTCAAAGAGCTAGTGACTGAACCCAGGCCTGTAACTCCACTAGACCAGAAGGAGTAGAGAAAAGTTTAGGTGCCTGGAGTTGGTTCCTTTGAGTCTAAGCCTCTTGCTTAGTGGCATCCAAGGGCAGGTGGCATAATGCAATGGAAAAGAGCACTGAACATAGAATTAAAGGATTGGGGTGTAGTCTCAACTATAACACTTAACTTTGTGTGACCTTGAAAAAGTCCCTTGGGCCTCAGTATGCCCTATACTGCAGCTTAAAAAAAAAAAAAAAACTGATGTGGAGAATCCCACCACAAACCAATTAAGTCAGCCTTCTGGGGATGGGGCCCTGGGCACTGCTATCTTTTAAAGTTTCCTTGCTGATATTCTAATGTGCATCCAAGGGTGAGAATCACTGAGCTGTGTGATTTAAGCTAGTACTTCTCAAACTTTAATGTGTGTGCAAATTGCCTGTATCTTGTTAAATGTAGATTCTGATTCAGTAGGTCTGGGGCATGGCCTGGGACTCTGCATTCCTAAGAAGCTCCTAGGTGATGTTGAGGCTGCTAGTCTGGGGCTGCACTTCGAGTAGCAAGGGACTAGAGTGTTCAAGGTAGGAATGAGAGAACTTGGCACCCATGTGAGTGAGCTGGTCCCCCCGCCGCCAGTCTCTGCTAGCCTAGCATCAAGGGAGCAGGCAGCCTGCCACTCTCCCATGGGCTCTGTGGCTCAGGCGGATAGTGCAGATGTGTAAGCTGTAGGACTTCAGTACTGCCTCCCTTGTCTCCTTACCTCTCCTCCTCTTTGTTTGGCCTCCAGCCATGAGGGACCAAGGGCTGCAGTGGGATTTCAAGGGTGTGTTCCTGGCATGGAGGGATATGCCTGGGGCAGTCCCTCCCCTGCCTGGAGTGGCCATTTCAGACTTCTGACCCCTTAAGGGTCACTGTGCCCACCTCCCTGGAAATTCTGGCCAGGTCTGTCTTTTGGCACCTCCTTTTGCCCTAATGACAGGAAAGCAGAACTGGCTGCCAGGAGGGCCACTGAGATCAGGGGTTTTCTCCAGGGGGTGTGGCAGGAACAGGAGACAGGAAAGTAGTGGTGGCAACCAGCTGAGCTGTCCTAGCAGCAAAACCATGTCCTCAAATGCTCACTGGGGCCAGTGTGCAGTCATTTTGGCCTTAACCACATCACCCAGACTACCACTGGCCTAGCGAATTTGATCCTTTCACAGGCCTGCATTGCCCCCTGCCAGACGGGCTGAGGTACTGCTAGCAGGGCTCTGTCAGACACTCCCTAGGGCCTCTCAGAGGTCCTGGTGATTAGCAAGCTGCAGTAACATAACACACACACACACGTGCATGCACAGACCGAGGTGCCTATGGGTATATATAAGTGCACGACCCCACATCGATGGATCGTGCACACGAGCAAAGTTGTGTCCAGCTATATGCAGAGACAGATGTGAGGTGGGCACTGACCTGCTGTGTGCACTCACAGAAATGCACAGATGTTCATCCCTGCCCTACCTTTGTTTGCCCCCAAAGCCTTCAGGGGCTCCGGGGGCTGCAGAGCCTTCTCTTTTCCCCCTCAAATTCTCATCAGCACGGGACCTTTGAGGGGTCTATTATTTTTTCCGACTGACTTCCATCTTCCCCTACTCTTCCCTCCCTTTACTTACCCTGTATCTCTGAAATACTGTTTTTTCTTTTATTTTCTCAGTCCCTGCTGCCAGGATCTCATCCTGGATTTCCTTGTAGGTAAACACTGGGAAGAGAGAGTGCTTCCTGTCTTGGAAAAACCCCACCAGTGCCCTTGGAGTCCTCTAGTCAGTGGGGCCAGGTGAGACTCTGGCCACAGGTGCTAAGGAATGAGGAAATGTTGGCCAGAGCAGCCCTGCTGAAGCCAGCAGCCTTCTGCCACCAGCCCCACTATGCCAGGTCCCATAGTCCTAGCCCCGCTGGTCTTTGGTACCACCTGAATCAGGGACAGTCCAAGGGCTCTGCTACTGGTATTCAGCTTCCCTGACCAGGAAGGCCTCTATAGCTTCAGTCCAGCTGCACATCCCCACTAAGGCTGGGGGCAGATGCCAGCTCTGTGCCAGACACTCCCAGGGCAGAGGCGGGAGGTTGGCCCAGCCATAACTCCCACAGGCCAGCACTATGTCAGCATGACATTCAGCACTGAGTATGCCACAGATAGGCTGAGGAAACTGGAACAGTTGTGGGAGGCCCCCTGGGGAGGGAGGACAGGAACTTGGTGAGTGGCTGGGGAAGAAGTGCACTGGGGAGGCTGCTGTCAGAGGGTGGGAACCCTGAACTGGAGTTGGACTGAGCTTGGCCCCCAACCCCAGCACTGCTACTTTGTCAGCTGCAAGACTGTAGACAAGTCACTTCTTTTTTTTTTTTTTTTTTTGTTTTTTTGTTTTTTTTCGTGACCGGCAACGGATCGCAACCCTCAGTGTTGCGCCCGTACCGGACCGGGACCGGCAACGGGATCGCAACCCCCGGCATTGCCCCCGCTCCTCACTCAGCCAGTGAGCGGCCGGTCTGTATGTGGGATCTGAACCCTCGGCGGGAGCGCCACCAGACTGGCCCGACAAGTCACTTCTTTTCTGAGTCTGTTTGTACATCCGTAACATGGGGCTAGTGAAACTTTCTTCACAGGTATTCATGTGTATTAAATGAGATTTGGCTGTCAAAGTGCTGGAGGATATTAGATATGATGATGAGAAGGAGAATAATAATTATTGTTGAACATTTCATATCTTGGGAGAGGATGGCTCCTTGAGGAAGGCAAGGGGTGGAGGACACAGCTGTGGTTTCCTATCCCAGCAGGACTCCGTGACCCCAGACAATACTGGGAGTTGCTGATGGTGGTGGGTTCTGTTCTTGGGCAGGAGGTGGGAGAGTGGGAGGGGTTTGGGGCAAGTGGGGAATGAAGTTCAAGAAAGTGGTGGCCAGGACAAACAGGGAGTAGGGCTTGGGGAGCAGATGAAATCCTAGCTGGTTATGACCTGGAGTAACTGTGCCAGCCCCTCTGTGCTTTTCTTGTCATTTCTGGATTGCCAGAACTAGCCGGGCCTGCCTGCTGGAGGTGAGGCAATGTACACTTGGGGGTTTAGTACCAGCACCCTGTTAACCCCATTTCTCTGCTTGTTTTCCCCTGCTCTGTTTTAGAAGCCGAGGCCAAAAAAGCTTGTGAGTGGCTCCGTGCAACAGGATTCCCTCAGTATGCTCGGCTGTTTGAAGGTAAGGCCACTCAATTGCTCACCGTCCCCTGTTCTAAAACTCTTCTTATTCCTCGTGTTTTCATCTGTAAAATGGGGCAAATCAGATCCTCTCTCCAACCACACAAGAGGCTGTATGTACTGGCCCTGCCCAAAGTTTTTCAGGGACTTTGCTCCTGCAGTTACAAACTCTGTCTCCTACATTATCATCTCTCTACCGGATCACTCTTGTCAGCTTCTGTAAGCTCTGGTGTTGCCCATATTTTCAAGTCCCTGGTCTTGACCAGGGCCACTGCTGTGTACCACTCCTGAGGATGCCATTTACATAGAGACACTGTGTTCCCTGGTGGCCCAGTCTTGACCTTACCTTCCCCACGGTGATGACCTCATTTCTCTGTTTTCCTTCATTGCTGTTCATTTTTGTTTTTCTTTAGAGTTCTTCATACTTGCTGTTTCCATTTCCCCTCTTCTTCCCACACCACCACTGCTCCCTGACTTCACCACCACCTCGCCTCATCAAGTTCACCAGTGACCTGCGTGTGGTCAGATTCAGTGATCACTTCCCAGTCCTCACCTTACTTCATCTCTCAACAGCACTCGGTGCAGTTGACCACTCCTTCCTTTGGCTTCTGGGACACCCCTTCTCCTCGCTGCCTCTCTAGCTGCTGCTCTCAGTCTCCTGAGCTGATGCTGCTTCCTCTAATATCTAAATGTTAGGGCTTCTCAGGGCCCTCTTCTCTCTCGATGTTTCTTTCCTGTGAGATCCTCATCCAAGTCCCATCTGTATTCTTTTTTTTTTTTTTTTTGTCTTTTGTCTTTTTCCGTGTCCAGCAACGGATCGCAACCCTCAGTGTTGCCCCCGTACTGGACCGGGGACCGGCAACGGGATTGCAACCCTCGGTGTTGCCCCCGCGCCTCGCTCAGCCAGTGAGCGTGAGCAGGAACCGGTCTGTATGTGGGATCCGAACCCTCGGGCGGGAGCGCCGCTGCGCTTCCCAAGCGGCGCACTTATCCAGTGCGCCACCGGGCCGGCCCCCATCTGTATTCTGATGACTCCCAAATGTCTCTGTCCAGACCTCATTCCCAAGATTCATCTGTTTAACTGCTGATTCAATATCTCTACTCAGGTGTCTGATAGGCAGCTCAGATTTAATGGGTCTAAAATCCAACTCCTGATAGCGCACTACCATCCAACCACTTGCCCATATCGAGGAATCATCTTTAACTCCTTTTTTTCCCTCTTCCCCCATATCCAACCCTTCAGCAAATCCCTTCTCCCTCCAGAATATATCTTGACTCAATCTACTTCTTACCACCTCCACTGCCACATCCTGGCATGACCCACCATCACCACTCACCTGGACTAGCATACCAGCCTCCTTCCTGACCTTCATGCTTCCACTTTTGTCCTCCAGTATTCTGGTCTCCACACTGCAGCTAGAGGGATCCTGTTGGCCATAGGTCTGACTATGTCACTCCTCTGCTCCACACTCTCCAACGCTTCCCAGCACACTCAGTGTGAAATAAACCCGAAGGCTTTACTTTGGCTTCCAAGACAGCATTATCCAACTTCCAGTTTTACACCCCCTTTTGCTCACAGGGCCCCTTTCTACTACTTGCTCACACCAAGCTCATTCCCTCCTTGGAGCCTTGATGTTGACATGACTCCCACCTGGAACTCTTCTCGGTTTCTCTGCATGGCTGGCTTCTTCTCATCCTCTAGGACTCAACTCAGAAGTCACCACCTCAGAACAGCCTTTGCTGACCTCTTCTGTACAAGTAGCCCCCACCTCACCAGCCTCTCTTTACCCCATTTTTCTGGCTGATATCTTCCATGGCATTTGTAACTGCATTATCTTGGTTTCATGTATTGTGTATTTTCTGTTTCCTATGAGAGTGTAAACTCCATGAAGACAGGGACCATTTTTGTCTTGTTCACTGTCGTAGGCCCAGCATCTTGCACAATGCCTAGCACAAAGTAGGTGTTCAAATAGTATTAGATGAATGAGTAAATGAACAATTGGGCTTGTTTTTGCCAGCACAGAGAGCTGTGAGACTTCTCAGATTCTCTCTCCCCTTTTCCCCACTCCTTCATTTCTCCTCTCCTCCCCCTGGTCCCAGAGAGTGGACTCCCACTGCTCTGGGCAATAAGGGGAAGTGTCCCTTCTGTCCTCACTCCCTCCCTACTCCCTGCAGTTCACCTTGGGCCTGGGAGGAGGGTCCCTGTCTCAGCAGCCCAGGATTCCAAGGGGACTGGGGGAACCCAGGTTCGCTCTTGGCAGCCACCCAGAGTCTTGGGCCTGCTGTCCCTCATGGACCTGCCTCACTGACTGATGGGATCCTTTGGGCCTGCTGCACCCTCCTAGCCTCTCCCTGATGTTTCCCCTGACTGCCAGCCCTGAGCTCCCTGGGTTCCCCTCATTCACCCTGGATTCTTTTCCTTCTGCTTTGGTTCTTGCCATCCTGTTTCCCTTCCTCCTTGGCCTCTCCCTTCCAGCTCAAGGGCTGCTGAGGCTGAGTTTCTGATCTACCACTGAACTCATCTTTGCTTCTCTCTGCCATACAGAAGGTTCATTTCCCCTGGATATTGGCTCTGTGAAGAAGGACCACGGTTTTCTGGACGAGGACTCTTTGGGGGCCCTGTGCAGGTAGGGGGGCTGAGGGCCAGGCTTAGGAAGTCAAGGGCCCAGCTTGGGGCTTCGTCATGGAAGAGATGATCCCTGTACCCTCTAACAGAGGAGGAGTGCAGCTTATTAATGCAACTCATCTTCTGCAGTCACATTGCTTATTATGTTTTCTGTGTCTGTGACCCCTCACCCACCCACTCAGTCTAGCTAGAAAGCCAAGATTGGTCTGTGATTCTTTTCTCTTAAGTTATATCCCCCAGACATTCCTCTGATTCAGCCCCTCCCTACTTACGCCAGTTTGACCCTTGTTTGAGGCCGAACCATGACTTCTCCTTGGATCTGTTACAGGAGCCTCCTAACTGGCTTCAGTTCCTGTGTTCCACCCTCCACCCCAGTCCATCCTGTCTACTGCTTCCAGAGTCAGCTGTTTTAAGCTCCAAGTGGGTGCTGCTCTGCCTAAAATTTGTCACTGCCTACAGGCAAAAATGCAAAGCTTTTTTACCATGTCCCCTGAGGCCCTTTGCAATCTGGCTTTTGACCTGCGGTATCAGCCTTGGTCTCACCCTCTCATACCCATACTGTTCTGTTTACTGACCACTTCTCTCTCTGCCTTGTCACAGACTGCTGTGGAAGCCTGCGATAGAAGGCCCTGTTCTACTCAACCTCCGAATCCCATTGCTGCCTTCCGGGAAGCCTTTTCTGACTGCACCCCCTCCCTTCATGGAAGTTCCTTGTCGTACCCTCTGTGTTCTTCTCTGCCTTCTGCCTACTCTGTCCTTGAACCTGTGCGATTTCTGTAGTGGTTTATTTCCACATCTGTAAGCTCCTGGAGGATAGAGGCCATAATATTCCCAGCATTGTATCTAGTGCTTAAACCTTCATGAACACTGGGGCTTGGGAGACATTTTGATAGCTTGGGCATGTAAAGTGATGGATGGCCTCTTGGGAATGTCTTGGTAGGCTATGCCAGGCATTGGGGTTTGAGACCCTTGGATGAACACTTTCATTTTGTTGCAGGAGGCTGATGACCTTGAACAATTGTGCCTCGATGAAACTGGAGGTTCATTTTCAATGCAAGCAGGTGAGTCATGGCAAGGGGTGTGGTCTATGGTCTTGTGGCACCATGGGAAAACCTAGGACATTCTTAAACCACTTGTGAGACCAGCTCCAGTATCTCAGGAGTCTGGGGTGTCCAGAGCAGAGCTTTGCTTCAGCTCAAGGGTGAAAATGTAGGAGGCTCTATGAGGCCACTGGGTTTTGGCAAGCCTGGTCTATAGGTTGGAGTATGAGAGCAAGTATCCTGGCCCAGGGCCTCATCTTCACCTCAGCTTACCTCTCCTCCTGGGTTTCCCAATAACTTGACCTAGTATTGGGCCCTCCTCAGAGAAGTCCATCTGCCTCCATTACTTGCTTTGTGATGGCTAAAATTCCTTGAACGGATGCAGAGACAGAATAATGTGGCAGAAAGATCATGGCCTATATGGCCTTAGAAGTCAGGATCCCCAGCCTCACCCCTATGAGGTCTTATCCCTATGAGCATTTCCTCATCTCTACAATGAATTTACGACTCTGCCAATCTGGGATTGCTGAAACCAAGAAGATTCTTGGTCTGTACTTAGGCCTGGAATGCAGACCTAGTAACCTATCCTTTCCTGGGGACAAGCTTTTTTGCTTTCTTCTGGGACTTTCTCCATGAGAGGCCTGCAGTCAGGTAGGGCAGCCAAGTTGACAAAGTCCTGGCATGTAAATCAGGAGACCCATGGGGCCTGGTCCCAGCACTGCCACTGATTGACCTCAGACAAGCCTCTCCCTGTCTGGGCCTCAGTTTCCCCACCTTGCAAAGGAAGAGACAAATTAGAAAATCTAAAATCCCCTTGAGTTCTGGCATTCTGTGATTCTAATCTAAGGCTATAGTCTAGAGACTTGAGAGGCTCTGTCACTGACTTACTGCATGACATTGTATGACCTTGGGCAAATGGCCTCTCATCTGTAGGTCTCAGTTTCCCTATCTATAAAATGGGGGAGAGGTGTAGATTAGATGATTGCTACCATACATCTAGGCTCCATCTATGACTCCTGGCTTCCCCTGGCACTACCAGGGCCAGCTCTCCCCCTGATCCCAGGCCATGTCTTCAACCATAAAGCAGGACTTTTTATCTCAAAGCCCCCTAAGAATTTGGAGGCAGAGAGTGAAGCACAAGCACGGGCTTGTGAGCTGGAATTCTCTGACCTGACCCTGTGGCACCCTCCCCAGAATGAAGACCCAGAAGAGGAAGAGCAGTGTACCATCAGCAGCCACTGGGCCTTCCAGCGGGAAAGTAAGCGCTGGTCTCGCATGGGCTCCTCTGACTTGCTGGCCCCACCGAGCGCTGGCCTGCCAGTGACTTCAAGCTGTGAGAGTGTCCTCACTGAGCTTAGTGCCACCTCCCTGCCAGCCATCACCGTGAGCCTACCGCCTGAGCCAGTGGATCTGCCCTTGCTAGGCTGTGCCCCCAGCCCGAGTGACCAGTCCCTTCTCAGCCCCACTCAGGGCCAGGAGGGTCCCCAGGACAAAGCCAAGAAGCACCGTTCCCATAGCTTCCTCAAGCACCTTGAGTCTCTGAGGCGGAGGGAAAAAGGTGGCAGGCAGCAGGCAGAGCCTGAGCGTATCCCAGCCACCTCAGAGAAGGTCACAAAAGCCTCATCTGTCCGTAGTTGCCGTGGCTTCCTCTTATCTGGATTTTACAGAGCCAAGAACCGAGCAGCCACCTTAGCCAGTGGTGGTGGTGCTGAGACTCAGAGGGCCGGGGGAGCCTGGCCTGTGGCCACGTTCTGGCATCCTCTGCGGGTACACCGGGGTGACTGCCTGGTGCATGTGCCCGGGGACCACAAACCAGGCACATTCCCACGTTCCCTGTCCATTGAGAGCCTATGTCCTGAGGATGGACATCGTCTGGCAGATTGGCAGCCAGGAAAGTGCTGGGGCTATGACAGGCGCCGGGGCTCCTGTGGCTCAACGGGCAGCCATGCCAGCACCTATGACAACTTGCCCGAGCTGTACCCAGCTGAGCCTATACTGGCTGGGGCCGAGGCCGAAGATGAGGAGGAGGGTAGAGGCAGCTACGCCCACCTAGACAACATCCTCCATCATGTGTGGGGACTGCAGCAACAGGTAGAGCTCTGGTCTCAGGCCATGTACCCAGACCTGGGGCCTGGAGCTAAGGAAGAGGAAGAAGATGAGACAGAAGAGGAAGAGGCCACTTCTTTGGTAGAAATAGCCACAGTTGAGGTTGAAGGCCAGGCAGAGGCTCTGGCCCGTGGAGAATCCCCAGCCCAGGCCAAAGTGCAGCCAGTAGCCCCAGCTCAGGCTCAGGCTCCAGCCAAAGCTGAGCCATTGACACAGGTAGAGACCCTGGACTCGGCCCAGGACATTGAGCAGGAGGCACATTCAGGTGGAGAACCCACCTCTGCCTCTAGCCTGTCTGTGGAAGGAGGACACTCCATTTCTGACACTGTGGCCTCCTCCAGTGAACTTGACACTAGTGGGAACTCCATGAATGAGGCTGAGGCTGCAGGGTCCATGGCTGGACTACAGGCATCACTGACCCTTGAACGGCGTGATTCAGGAGTTGGGGCCTCACTTACCAGGCCCTGCAGGTAGGAGTTTGGCGTAGGGATGGCAGCAGTAGGAGGGGCTCGCTCTCTCTCTCTCTCTTTCTCTCTCTCTCTCTCTCAAGCCGATTTCTTAGTCACAAGGCCCACAGGCAGCTTCTTGGGGGCTGGGAGATTACCTCCAGGCAACTACTCCTAGGAGAGAAATAGAAAGAGACTTGGGAATCCAGAATGTTAGATTCAGGACCTGCCTTTGCTATGGCCTCCAGGAAAATATAGCTCCTCTTTGGGTCTCAGTTTCTACCTCTGTAAAGTGAGGTGGTGGTCACTGACCCCCAGCTTTGCCATTCAGTGTATCTTGCAGCAGCCCCTCTTCAGTGGTCTTGGAATGGATAGGGGTCTGGTAATACTTCTTGGCACTAGATGGGCCTGAGTTCTGTGCCATCCTCTTTGAGGGCTTCTTGGCCCCTGGGAAAACCTAGAAGTGGAGATTAAGCTCTTTCCACCCTGGGGCCCAGCAGCAGCACCGAATGTGGTCCCATCTCCCTGCACTTTTTTTCTTTTGGGAGAAGAAAAGGACCAGAACACAACTTTTTAAGGTTTAGCCAAACCTGCTCCTCTGGCCTTCTCCACCCCTCTCATCCCCTCTAGGAAGCTCCATTGGCACAGCTTCCAGAACTCCCATAGGCCCAGCCTCAACTCGGAGTCACTGGAGATCAACCGGCAATTTGCAGGCCAGATCAGCCTCCTGCATAAGGGCTCTATGCTGCGGCTCACCGCCTTCATGGAGAAGTACACTGTGCCCCACAAACAGGGCTGGGTTTGGTGAGTGGCTCCTGGACCACAGTGGGCAAGCAGCTGCTGGCCCAGGTCTGGGGCCCTGGGGAGGGTCAACCCATAAAGTGGGTGTGGGTATGCCAGGAGGCTGGCAGGGCTGTGTGGCTGTGGGTGTTGGGGTGTGGGACCCTAGGTCCTCCAGTTATACCTTCTCTATCCTGACTTCTATGTTGCCACCAGCGAGATTGTCCTAAAATCTAGCTTTGGTTATCACTTTCCCAGTAAATAAACAAGCTGCTATAGCTGCCCCTTGTTCAGATTCTTTCCCGTCACAATCCTTTCATGTCTGGTCCTTGCTCCTGTATTTCTGGCTCTTTAGTGCCACTCCCAAGCAATACCACCTTATACGCCAGTAGGACGAGTCACTCCTCCCTGAATGTGCCATGCTTCGTTGCCTTTGTTCATGCTGTTCTCTGCCTAGAAGGCCTTTTCCTGTTTCTCCTCTGGCACAATGCCTACCTTTCCCTCAAGAACCTGCTGAATTACCACCTCCTCTCTGAAGCCCTCCCTGACCCACTAAGTACAGTTCCCCTCCCTCGTGGGTCTTCCCCTAAGTTCTTGGCCTCCTATTGGCCACATGAATTGTCACTGCCTGTTAACACAGTTACCTCTTTAACTGAACTGAGAGCTCCATGTGTTCCTCTGTGACTTCCTAGGGCTGGGCCCAAAGCAGGTGCTCAATGTGTTGATTCTGGGGATATATGGTGTGTTCTTTACCTGCCTTACCACCACCTGAGCCCCCGAGACTATAGTCTCCAAACTGTGTTCCCCCTCCCTGATCGCTTTTCACTTCCCTAAACAGGTCAGTGCCCAAGTTCATGAAAAGGAACAAGACCCCAGACTACCGGGGACAGCACGTATTTGGGGTGCCACCCCTCATCCATGTGCAGCGCACGGGCCAACCACTGCCACAGAGCATTCAGCAAGCCATGCGCTACCTGCGCAGCCAGTGCTTGGACCAGGTGAGCCTTCCTGGAGGAGCCTGCAGAGAGATAGTGCTGAGCCCAGAGTCGGGGGAGACACAAGGCTGAGGAGCTGGGGAGGAGAACTGCTCTGGCCTTCCCCCTGGGCTGGGCTGGTCCACCAGTGACCTTTCCTATTCTCAGCAAGGCCCAGCAAGGCTGGAGCCAAAGCTCCCTTCCACTGCCTCAGGCTGGACCCTTTTGCCCAGCTCTGTGCCAGCTTCCTTCTGGCCCAGGCTCTGTAGTCCCCATCTTTTAGCAGCCTGCCTTAGCTAGGTCCACCTTTTCCTACTCATCTCCAAGAAAGCCATTTTTCTCTTTGGCCCAGAGGCTGTAGACATTCTCTTTGGTTTTGCCAGTTATCTCTTACCCTGCTGAGCAGGAAGGCTGCCAAGCTTCTAAGTCTGTGGGGTGGCCGGTGCTCCAGACACCTAGTCCAAGGTGTCTCACAGTCTTCTTCCTATCACCATATTTCTCCCTCCCACCCTCCCCTACATGGGCCAGGTGGGCATCTTCCGCAAGTCTGGGGTCAAGTCCCGGATCCAGAACCTGCGCCAAATGAATGAGGCCTCCCCTGACAATGTCTGCTATGAGGGCCAGTCGGCCTATGATGTGGCTGACCTGCTAAAGCAGTATTTCCGGGACCTGCCTGAGCCCATCTTCACCAGCAAGCTCACCACCACTTTCCTGCAGATCTACCAGTGTGAGTCTTCTACACCTATCCCCAATAACCTGCCCATTCTCAGCCTCCCTGAATCCTAGGGCTTGTGGAAGATAAATCTGGTGCAGGCAGATGTATCCAGACCCTCAAGCTCATTGGAACATTTACTGTCTGGAGTTGGAAAAGCCCTTGGAGAGAGAACACATTCTACTTCCCCAAACCCATTAATATGGAAGGGTAGACTGAGGCCCTGAGGAAAAGAAGGGACTTTCTTAAGGGTATACCGCATGTTAGCAGCAGAGCTAGATCTCACACCCACAGACCTTTCAGAGCCGACCTTTTCTCTTTCCTCTCACTAGCTTCTCTTTGAACTGTTGTGCCTTCTGCACTCTTAGAAGTAGGGGGCTTGCTGCTGGAGCCTCTGGGAGGTAAGGAAGGCCCTTCTGCCATTCCTTCCTCACAGTCCTCCCCAAAGATCAGTGGTTGGCAGCCACACAAGCTGCTACCTTGCTGCTTCCTGATGAGAACCGAGAGGTGCTACAGACCTTGCTCTACTTTCTAAGTGACATTGCCTCTGCTGAGGAAAACCAGATGACAGCTGGCAACCTGGCAGTGTGTTTGGCACCCTCCATCTTCCATCTCAATGTCTCCAAGAAGGATAGCCCCTCACCCAGGTGAAATGGGGCTGAGCATGTCAGATCCAGGGTGGAAGGGTTTGGGCCCAAATGGAGTTTTGGCCTTTGATGGCTGGCACTGCCATTCCCTGTCCTCACCAGAAAGGGTCAGCTTGACCTCTCAGGGTCCTGGAGCTGCCTCGCTGCAGTGGCGCAGGGCCTTCCAAAAGGCAGCATGTTGTTTCGTGGTCAGGACTGACAAACTGGCTTCTTGGGAGCTGGAAGTCAGCCATCTTGCCTTGTGCCCTTGTGCCATCCTCTTCTCTTGCCCTCTCCATTCAGGATCAGGAGCAAACACAGCCTGGTTGGCCGGCCAGGCCCTAGGGACCTGAGTGAGAACATGGCTGCCACCCAGGGCCTATCACACATGATCAGTGACTGCAAGAAACTTTTCCAGGTGAGTAGCCCTAGGCCATGGTGCCTACTTACCACACCAGGGGGAACCAGAAGGGCTGACCTTTGCACCCCAAGTCAGGGGTAGGGCCCGACTTGATGCATACTCCTCAACCTCCTACTTGCAACCCTTCCCCTGCAAGGGTCTCGCTGCAGTAGCCATGTCTCTCCACCGCCCTTAACATGAACCTGATAGACCCCATGGGGTCTCCTGCTTCCTAAGACCCCAGACCGGTTTGTGTGTGCCGCCTCAGGTGCCCCAGGACATGGTGTTGCAACTTTGTGGCTCCTACAGTGCAGCTGAGCTCAGCCCTCCTGGTCCAGCCCTGGCTGAGCTGCGGCAAGCCCAAGCTGCTGGGATGAGCCTGAGCCTCTACATGGAGGAGAGCATCCAGGAGCTGCTGCGTGATGCTGCTGAGCGCTTCAAGGGCTGGATGAGTGTGCCAGGTCCCCAGCATACAGAGCTGGCTTGCAGGAAGGTGGGCACTGCCCTACCCATGGTTACCATGGGGCTGGGAGAGGGTATGGCGCAGGTGAGGGGGGCCAAGGAACCCAGAGGAAGGAGCCAGGAGGAGCCACCCTGTCAATCTCACTGTGCCTCAATCTGATACTTGGAGAATGTCAGCCAGTTGAGCAAGTACCTTAAGGAATCAGGAACAAAATGAGACCAAGGGATCTTTCTCAGGGACTACCTACCAGAATTTCCTTCTAACAGCTCCATTCCAGAGACATTGCTACGTTTACAGCTTCAGCTCCCATCTCTCCCTGCAGCGCAGTCAAGCTGAACTCCCTGCCTTTCTGCCTTTATGCTTCCACTCATGCTGGCCTGCTGCCTGGACTGCCCTGCCTCCATTCAGTGCCTTCTGTCATGCCCCAGGCTGGAGGTGATTCCTCTCTGTCCCCTTCTTGGCACTGACTCTTTCTTGGATACCGCTTCTGAATAAGATCACAAGCTTGAAGTTTCCCTTGTATGAAATGGTCACAACAAAACCTCCCGTAGAGGATTGGGGTGAGAACCTTGCATAGTGCCTGGCACAGAATGCTCTGTAAATGGCAGCTTTTGTTGTCATGCGCCTGTTTTACTGCCCAAGCTAGACAGTGAGTTCCTTGAGGATGACCATCAGCTCTTCCTGCTTACTTCCAGAAATGACGAGCACTGTGCCCATTTCATGGTAGGACCTAATAGGCCTCAAAGAATGTGTGTCTCATCATCTCTTTGGGCTCTCAAGTAGGCTGAGAAAGGAGAGAAGCACTGGCATGGTCCTGTGTGGGTCTGGGTAGGCTTAGCACAGGAGCCCTGCAACCTTCCCTTGTGGGTGCACTGAGGGGTGCCCTAAGCCCTACAGTTTGAGTCCTGGACTGGGGGTAGAGTCGGAGTTCTTCAGTCCTGACTGCTGCCCCGTCCCCACCCCTGTGGCTCACAGGCACTGGATGGGCACCCCCCGCATATGTGGAAGGCGTCCACAGAGGTGGCAGCCCCTCCAGCCGTGGTGCTACATCGTGTTCTACGGGAGCGGGCCCTTTGGGATGAGGACCTGCTGCGGGCCCAGGTGCTGGAAGCCCTGATGCCGGGTGTGGAGCTGTACCACTATGTTACCGACAGCATGGCACCCCACCCCTGCCGCGACTTCGTGGTGCTCCGGTGAGGGGCTCCAGCTGCACCCTGCTGTGCTTGGACCAGGGAGGTGGGGCAGGAACCAGCACCAGGACTCTGAATGTGTGTGTCCCCTTCCCACAGGATGTGGCGCTCAGATCTGCCTCGGGGGGGTTGCCTGCTTGTCTCCCAGTCCCTGGACCCTGAGCAACCTGTGCCGGAGTTGGGGGTACGGGCCCTCATGCTCACTTCCCAGTATCTCATGGAGCCTTGTGGCCTGGGCCGCTCTCGGCTCACTCACATCTGCCGTGCTGATCTCAGGTACCAGGACTGTGATGGCCTGCTTCACCCCCTTGTCCCTGACCACATCCCCTGCTTCTGCCCCTATTTTTCTGCCTCATGCCAGTAATCCTTGGGGCTGAAGGCAAGTCCTTTCTTCCTTCCCCCTGGTGAGAGATCTAGGGAAAAACCCATTGCTTATTCCTGGCTTTTTCTACCTCTCCAGGGGCCGTTCTCCTGACTGGTACAACAAAGTCTTTGGGCACCTGTGTGCCATGGAAGTGGCAAAGATCCGGGATTCCTTCCCCACACTGAAGGCAACTGGTCCTGAGACAAAGCTGTGAGCCTCGGGCTGGTCCCAGGGTAGCACCACCCAGGCTCCCTGGCTCCAAGGGAGTGAGGGGGAATAGGAGTAGAGCAGCCCCCTGGATGCTGCTGCCAGGGACAGAGCCAGGCCCAGATGTCTCCAGCTGCCTGTCCCCCTTAATTTTTAAAGCTCCCCTCCACTTACAGGGGAGGAAAAGAGAACTGAGGTGTCCCATCTTCATTCCACCTTCATCCCCAACACTGTATTCTACTCTCCCAGGAGAGGAGAGTCATGTTGGTAGCAAGAAGATGGTTGCTGCCCTCCACCTGCCCATGAAGCCACCACTCAGTCTGAAGCCTCAAAAACTCCCTCGCCTGCAGGGGGAAGGAGGTAGAGAGCAGTGTGTGGGCCCAGATTTCTGCCAGACTGGGAAGCCAAACCATCCTGTTTGATGCTAGGGTCCTTTTGAGGTTAGGCAGGAGGTTCTGGTCCTGCCTTTGTAGCCAACAATGGCCTTCAACTTGCTTTTCCGGAGAAATCAGACCGGAGCTGGTGGGCACAGGGTCAGAGAAAAGGGCAGCCCCAACCACCACGATCTGTTGTGTCTGTGTAAATACGAGGTTGATTTTTATGAGGCTGATTTAGAGTGGACACTGACGGGCCCCTCGTAGGCGACATGATGATTTGGGATAACTTGGGATGTAAGAGTGAGGAACCTTCCTTTCTCAAGTCTCAAGAGACCAATGAGCCAGTCTCCCCTGGCTTGGACTTCACCCTTTATCTGCAACTCCCTGGAGTCCTGTGTAGCCTCTTGTCACGGACTGCCACATCTGCACAGGCCAAGCAAAAGCAGAAAGTGGTAAGGAGACAGGTATCTGTGTCCTCATCCATTTTGCCTATAGTAGTAGGCTAATAGAGCACCTTCCTCTAGCAGAGACCTGGCCCCTGGGCCAGCCACATGGAAGGGCCCATCTTAGCTAGCTGGGGCTTGATCCACACCCAGTCTATCCCAGCCACCAGCTCATAAGGAAATTCAAATGCCATTCAAAGGCCAGCTGATGCTTTATTTTTCTTTCTGCTAAATGAACTGGAGTGGGATAGGTCCTAGCCACCATTGTAACTTTTAAGCTTATTTTATTTGCACTTATAAATACTGTACAGTCAGAATATATATGTGTAATTGTATGTGTCTATATAGACATATATACATATATACAAGGATACTTCAAAAAGTTCATGGAAGAATAGAATGAAAAGATAATGTGAATCTTTCCATGAACTTTTTGAAGTATTTTGTATACACACACATACACACACACACACAGACATGCGCGTGCGCATATATAGTCTCTCATGAGTGCATTATAATTTAAGTGGAAGCCGAGGTCTGGAAGGCCTTGGGGAAGGGCACTTCAGATGAGATGGGAGAGGTGGAGAACAGATACAGCAGGATCCCTCAGCAGAACAATAAAGCATTACTAGAGGTACACTCTGGCTGTGTGGCTGTCTTTGCTGAGATGACAGACTAGGCACTGGGGACCAGGGTTGCAATCAGCCTTAGTGTTCGGGGTCAGAGGTTGTGAGCATTCACCTCACCTTCTCCTGAGTCCCAGCTTACTGGCATCTGGACTTGGGGTTGAGGCCACAGGAAGAATGGGGAGGATCTCAGCTTTTTGGGAGGTGGAGGGAGGCAGAATTAGGAGAAACCAGGGCAACCCCATGCCATGACCTGGTCAGGGTCCCAGATCTGAGCAGTAGCCCACAAGCGTGACCTCAGGTGTCCTTAACAGTAGCCCTGGGGAAAGATGAGCATGGCTAAATTCTTCCTCCCCTTTCTGCTCAGCCAACATGAAGGATGAAGAGTGGAGACCCAGCCCCAGGAGACTTGGGGTCCCTGGCACACCCAGATGTGTCCCAGGATGTCATGATGATGAGGCTGCCCAGCCTCTCACGGCTACACACATTGGAGGCACTGCCCGTGGCCATGTCTAGCCCTCAGTTTTGTACTTCCACCCACCCGAATAGGCTGCTTTGTTTCCCTGGTGCCAGAGAATTCACACCCTCAAATTCCCAGCCCTACTGCCCACTCTCTCCTCTCGTGCTTCCCATGACTCAAAGAAACCAGGCTGTGCGGGAGTCCCACATAGAAATTGGACAATCTTATCTGTGAACTTCGACTATTGTGTTCTAATCTCCAGTGCCCTGTTGCCATAGTGGCTGAGGGTCAGACCCAGGTTCAAATCTAGCTATATCATTTCCTGGCTCTGTGACCTTCGGTGACACATTTAACCTCTCTGATTTCTTTTCCTCTCAGAAAATAAGAATCATTTTATCCCATAAGGTTGTTGTCAGGGTTAAATGATCCAATACTGGTGAATATGGCTGCATGGAACAGATGTCAATTAATGGTACTCTCCCCTGTCCTGCCTCTTCCTTGGCAGTCAGACTCCATGGAGAGGGCTTGAGCCCCTCATTTGGGATCTCCACCTCCAAGAAGGAGAGGAGCTGATGGGCACCTGCCTATTGTCAGTGCAGACAATGAAGAAGAGGAGCTTTGCAATGGAGACTTCATAGGAGAGGGCACCGTGTAAGGGGGCCCCAGTGGTGCAGATGGAGTAGAACATGCTGATGTAGACAGAGATGATAGCCAGGAGGTTTACACCTATAGGTAACAAAGCTTCTGAGCTTCTTGCTCAAGGTCTGGGGTGTGGAGACAGGCTGGAGAAAGCCCAAGGCAGTCTGGCATTGAGGTCCATGTGGACGGGTTAGGGCTATGGAGATCTGAGAAACCTCAAGATCACATGCCCCTCACCCAGTCCTGGGGAGGAGTCAGCAGTCAGGGCCCTCCACAGGGCAAGGAAGCAAGTGGAAGTTGCAGATGGGCTTGGGGACTCCAACTCATGAAACTGTAGCCCATGGAACAAAACATCTCAGAAAGTGGCATGGCGCTGGCAGCCAATGTGATGCTTTCTGGGCAGAGAGTCACTTGCTTTGTGAGCCAGTCAGCAGATGGTCTAAATATTAGCCACCCACCAGGTGTGAAGGAGGGAACCAGAGCGACACCTTCGTGAAGGGCCAGATCAGCTGGTCAGGAAGCTGGTAGCCTGGCCCCTGCCCACCATGTGCCACCTCACCCAAGAGGGTGGCAGAGTGGAGCATCTCTGGGCAGTGAACTTGCATGTGCATCAAACAGAGAGGAAAGCAGCTTCCATTTCTGCCATAGCAGTTGCTTAAAGGGCCACAACACCAGAAGGTGTTGCCCCATGATGATGATGAAACCCAGCAGCCAGATCACTACCAGTGTGGCCGAGGTCTGCAGGTGGCCCACATGGTAGGCACTGAATGGGGAGATGGTGCTCAGGCACTTCTTCATGGTTGTGTAGGTGTGCAGCAAGATGGAGACCATGGCCAGTCTGCCCATGGTCTGCCTGTGACCAGCCAGCTTCGGGCATGCTTGTAGTCACTAGCATAGTGCAGGTTGTAAACCTCAGTGAAGAAGTTGATGCCCATAAGGAAGTCGGCACCCGGCGCAACAGGGAGACAATGGCAACCAGAGTCCCACCACCCCCACCCAGGACCTTCCTCTTCTGTCTTCCTCCCAGCTCAGGGCTCGGAGGGAGATACCTTGGAGTGTGTGTGTGCGCATGTGTGTATGCGCATGCACAGTGTGTGCTGACAGCTACCCAGGCCCTTTCCTAGCCTTCCAGGGAAGCAGCATGCTGGAACACAGAAAGTATCAGCCTATGAGTCAAGTTGAACTGGGTTATGTGACTGTAGGAAGCTACTTCACTTCTATGAGCCTCAGTTTCTTTATTTGGAAAAGGAGGGTCTTGGCCTGGATTAATTCTAATGGTTGGTTCCATGTCTCTCCAGCATTTATAAAATTTGCAAACAAAATAACAATTGCTTAATGAATGTTCTTTTTGTTTGTTTTATTGATGGGATCGTTTAAAACGTAGGGTCCATTGGGAGAGGGTAAAATTCTAAGGGGCCCAAGGGAATTCATTACATGAAGCAACCAGAATTTGTTATATGGGGCAGTTAAAACCATTGGAGACAAAAATCTGCTTTCCTTTAGGCTTTTGAGAAATTTAAAAAAAAAATAGCTCTGATACAACTGTTGGGATAAAGAGAGCCAGTGTGAGAGTGGGGCTGGGGGCAGAGGGGGAGTTCAATCCTAAGACAGCTAGGTCCTAGGAAAGTTCGCAAGAGGGCACTGCTGCTCTTTGTGGGAGCAGAAGGCAAGAAGCTGCTGGAACTCTTGACCCCAGCCTCTGCCCCCATCCCCAAGTCTTTTCAGTGTTCCCTGGTGTTGGCCCCTTTCCCTTCACAGAGTCCACCAGACCTTGTCCCTTCCCCTGTTCCCTCAGCTCTCCCCCAGCCCTTGCCCCTCTCCATCACAGAACCCTTGAACTTCTGCCCCCTTCCCTCATCCCACTGGTTCCTTGGGTTGGGAGAACTTCTCCCCGAGTTGAGATTCACTGTCCAGTTCATCTCCCAATTGCACAAATGAAGACATGGAATAACAGACAGGTAAAGAGACTTGCCCAAGGTCACTAGGAGGGAAGAGGCAGTGCTGGGATGGAGCCCATCTGTTGGGATTCAAGGGTGCCCCTTCCAATGGGCCAGTTATTGATTCAACAAATATTTATTGTGTAGTGTATTATGGGCCAGGCACTGTTGTAGGTATCAGGGATAGAGGAGTAAGCAAAACAGAGAAGAATCCCCACTCTCGTGGATCTGGCATTCTAGAGGGAAGAACAAATGTACATAAGTCAATGATATAGTGGGTTTGAAGGTGATAATTGCTTTGGAAGAAAATAAAGCAGGGAAGGGGGATCCGGAGTGCTGGGGCAGAGAGTGGAGAAGGTGACATTTCACAAAGGTGAAGTAGGTGAAGACATGAGCCACACAAAGAGCATGTTGAGCCTTGGAAGGACAGATGGAAAGAAGACCACCACAGGGGATGGCAACTGAGAGGCAGTGCTCAACTGCCAGGAAAAAGCCAGTCGATAAAGCTGGCAGTTTGTACAGTCCCACAACATGAACAAAAGCTCCGGGTCCTTCCAACATATCCCGTGCGAGGCATGTGAAGAGAACTGCAAATGGATTGGCTTATCTGGCTCTAAAGTTTCCTCTTCAACACAGCCCTTGGCTGTCTGGGTCTGGCTTCTAGGAAGTGTGATCAGGCCCCATGGATGGGGTAGAAGTAGGGAAGGCAGGTTTGGAGACAGAAGACTGGGTATCAGACAAAAGCAGGGCATGGGGCATGCACTCCCCCCTTGGGTGGGTGGTAATACATATTATTTCCTGCTTGGCACCCAAGGCCCTACCTATCCTCTTGGCTGCCAGACCCCCACAGCCTCAGCTTCCACCATTCTGGACACACCTACCTGTCCACCAGCCTCGAGACATCCCAGTGACCTCTTTACATCCTGACTACTGATTGCTTTTCACTCCACTTACTCCTTGAGAATTTGGTCCCATGACCAGATCTTTATTCTTGAACCCCTCCTTCCTCCACACATCAAGATTCTTCCCAATTCTTTGACCACAGATTCTTGGCCCTCTTTCCTTACCTCCCCCCACCCCCGCACCCCTCATTTCTCTTCTCTTTCTGCCCCACCTCCACCTCAGGCATTCCTCAAAGTTCTTCCTTATCATTCACCTCCCTGATTCATCTTGCTCATTAGGGACCTTGCTGACATCCATTGTTTCAGTTTACACCTCTGTGCGGATGTCCCCGCATCACTTCCTTGAGCCTAGGCCAGTATTTCCCACTGCATGAGTGGACAGTTCCACCTGGAGGTACCACCTGCATATTATATTCATCAGGCCTAAGCCAAGATCATCATCCTCCCTCACACAATATGCTCCCCTGCTGCCTTCTTGTCTCTGCACTATTATCTTCCTGGCTGCTCAGCTCAGATCCCCAAACCAACCATGACCTCTCCCTCCCTGTCGCCTTCCTCCATACCCAAAGCATTCATCCGTCCAGTCACTCATCCACTCAAACATTCATCCATTCTTTCATTCAACAAATTGAATACCTGCCATATGCTGGACTCTGTTGAGGCACTGAGAATACAGCAGTGACCAAGACAGTCAAGGCTTCTACCTTCCTTGAGCACACATTCTAGTAGATGGGTGAGTGGAGAGAGGTAGACAA